TTGATCCCGAACTGACTTCACTCAGTTGGGGCAGTACTGGACAGTTGTTTCGCACGATTTTGGAACTCTTCACCAGTACGCATCCATAATCCCACTACTCCACTAGGGATCGAAACCCAGGACCTTCAGGTTAAAAGTGGGGGGGGCGGGGCGGGGCGATCTCATTGATCATTCAACAACTGAGATAGAATACAATAGTCAGTCCATATATTTTAATAGCTTCTCCTTTGAATCTCAAAAGTACACACAACTTTGTACATATCAGTGGAAAACTATTTAACGCTTTTAAGAAATGCCAATGTCAGCTTGACTAAATATTATTCTGAATAGATTTTTCTCAGGTGATAATTAATTAATTAATTATGCTTGCTTGCTTGATTTAATCTCCGTCTATTTCTTTTTTTGTTTAGTTGAAGTAATAATTATTTGAAGAGAAGAAAAACAAGCCAAATAGCGCGCAGTTTTATTCACATATGTACGCCTATTTTGCCCGGCTTCACTATCCTCTCTATTGTACATTTATGGTTGTATATCTGCATAGCAATATAAGTGTTCAACAAGAAGAAAGAAGGTTTATCATGCAAAAAAAAACCAGTACAAAGAGAAGAAACACCTGAGAGAGCGAGAGAGAAAGAGAAAAAAGAAAGACGATGCAGGAAAAAAAGGAATAAGAATCGAAAATCGCAACAACAACAAAAAAGGAAGATGATGATATAGACGCACTGACTGAGTGTTCGTGTAGCCACAGCCGTAGGTTAATCTTTTCTTTCAATACATATCTACACATACATACATACACATAGACAAACAGACAGAGAATCATGTGCTGGATTACAGCAACACAAAGATTCTCAACAAACAGAGAGAGAGAGAACAGAAAGATCCCAAGCCAGAAACACAGGTGGTTGTGTCAGAAGAGTAACAATCAGGTCTAAAAATTGACTGCCGAGATGAACCGACTAAATATGTCTAAGACGCAGAAGAAGTAGAAGCAGACGAATGCACACAGGCACAGCAGTACATAATTTGTGCAATTCAATTATGTTCAAGGAGTGAAGGGGGGAGGGAGAAATACAGCCTAGAAGGTATGCTAATATATATGTGTTATCGCGTTACTCCTGTTTCCCCCTGCACAGCAGAAGTATTTGTGTCTGTTTAAATCTTTTGACTATTACTACTACTACTTCTACTACTACAGCCACTACGAAAAGTGAAAAAAACAACAAACAGAACACTTCTTAAATTAAGACAAAAAATACTTATGCTTTTTCATTTATCCTTAAGAGAGGAAAGAAACTTCAGATTAGTACGTGGATCACTATGATTATAATAATAAGAAGAAAAAAGGGGTCTGAAGCAGTCAGTCAGTATGGGCACTATAAACTAAGAATTACACACATACAGACACACTAAATGTTAGGCAAGAAGTGTAGTGGAAAGTGGTGAAGAAAGATTGCAATCACTTCTAATGATAATAATAATAATAATAATTTACTTCCCACCAACTGATATCCCGTTGGCAATTTTTATAATAATAATAATAATCATTATCAACCCTAGATCTCTCATCATTATGAATAAATGGATCTTTGCTTGCATAATCACGTACAAGCATAGATGAACAAAACATAATCATCATATTCAAGGGTTGGTTTGCAAGGATTTCAGTTGATTTGTTACAGAGAACCATTCGATAACCTGGGAGTACTGGACAGCTGTTTCCTCCTGGTTTTGGATTCATCAGAAGTACTTAGCCACTATCAAGGTTTGAATCCACAACCGTACGGTTACAAGACGAGCTCGTAGACTATTGAACCATTGGAACCCGAATCAATAGCCAGCCCATGAATTCCAGCTTCCGCCAATTAACGATATAGCCACGACTACTAGCGAATGTCATCGGCGAGTATTTGTCCTCGCACCTGGCCTGCTGAACAGTCCCAAACTAGGACGAAACATCTAGTTTTCCAAATCTTCTCTAACCGATATCAGCTCATGATGAAATCCTGCATACAATCAAATCAAATCCCTGAAAACCAAAACTTGAATATTAATCCGATGTTGACTAGTGCTTGGCGCTATTTAGGTAGGTAGTTACCTAGATTGTAGTGGGAAGTCATGACCATTGGTGGGGTACACCAGGTCAGGTGTGAGGAAAATTACTCGACAACAACACTGGCTGGTGGCCGCGTTGTATCGTGAATTCGCAAAGAAATAATGATAATTTATTCAATAATTAAGAAAACCTTTAAAAGAAGGCAAGGTTTTCTGCCTTCTAGGGTGGAGTAAATGATAGAGTTGGGTGGGACGTGTGTGTGTGTGAAGGAGAGTATGACTGTAGGCAGTCACAAAGCAAACGTAGAAATAAGTGTCTGCAACCACCCTTCTATAGAACAAACGAAAAAAAACGCACCTTATTGACGGGTTTAACAGTATTCTCATTTTTATTTTCTTTCATAGTCTATTCCCTTGCGTTCCGAGTGATTTTCATAAGCCTTCAAATCCTGAGCTGTGAAACTCTCCTGGGTCGTCTCATATCTTGTTGATTTCTAAGGAAGTTGAGCTACTTGTGGTATAACTCAATCTCTTCTCTCTTACAGTTAAATAATTCGTGTATTCTCCCTAGTCTTCTTTATTGTCCCACTCCTAGTTTTCCTTAGACTTCTCAAGACTATGTCATATTACGTAGAAGATTGAAGGCTGTGAGCAGTATGGTTAGTGGTGTGCCTTTGACTCAACTAACTGATTAATTTGTTGCTGATAGGCATTTTAATACCAATGCAAGCAATTCAGTCATTCAGTCAGTTTTCGACATAGAACTTTGCACATATGTGCCGCAGTTCAAGTCGCCACACTTCATTCAGCACACAAAGCAACAGAAGAAAGTAGGAGAAATGCATATTAGAGACAGTAAACAGAGGTGAGACAAAGGAATAGTAATAACGAAGAACAAAATAGTTTCACTGGAAATCATGAGTCACAAGGAGTGGATGCATCTGCGAACGATTTTGAGCTATGTCACCAGTTGTCTGCAGTCATTGGTTTTTACCGTCCCGAGGACCCCAACCAGTCAGGAAGTCTACACCTTCCTACGTGGCTTACACTAACTGTTGTAGATTTCGTTCACTGATGAAGCCATGTTTCCGTCTGACCCTATATCAGCTAACACTGCCCGTCGAGGAAGGCGATCAATGGCTAGGCATACGTAACACATATGCTAACCATCTCAGTCGATGTAATTTCACAGCCTCGTCGATTGATTTCCCTTCCTTACCTAGCACTCGACCGAAGCCTAACCTCAATATTGTTCACCTTATTATACCACTTCACGCGGGAGATAGAACCCAGACACCTATGATCAAAGACAGCTAGTCTTTTCATGTCCTTGCAAGCAATTCGATAAAGTTACCTTGTCTAACATCGAACATTCTCTTTATTATTCGCCACTTTATCCTTGTATATCTCTTCAGGTGAAATCGGAAAAAAGAATTTCATAAGAATTTATGCTCATACAGTAAAATATATAAAAAAAATTCAGCCGAAACCTCTATTTTTTTGGCACAGGTTTTATGTGAAGAGAGAGAGAGAGTCAGATGTCGGTAAAGAGCTTCTAAACTTTTTAAATCAGTCACTGAACTCCATAGTATAAAAGGAATTATTATTATTATTACATAATTTATTTATAATCTGTTATGTTCCAATAATTTCCAGTTTTTGTGGTTTTGTTATTTTTACTGTTTTACGTATTTACATATTTATAAAATCAGCTAAATTGTTGCAATATGTGCAAAACGATGACAATTCCGCTTTGTATATTTAAAATTGTTTGGAATAAAGTGATTACATTATTATTATTATTATTATTATTATTACTAGGTTTCAGCAACGATTTTTTTTATTCCTTCACGTTCCCAGTGGAACACAGGACTTCAAGCTAGAAGCCTGAAGTTTCTGTAGCAGTGTTTATTTTTACAGGATGGGGTTGCTAGCCTCATGCCTAACCTTCCCTCTCTACCAACTTTATTACTGGCTTAGCGAGGTAAAGGAGTGCGTTGGTGGCCGGGGATCGAACCCCGGACCATGTGCATGGTCTGCGAGTGTTCTAATCGTTATACCACCGACGCACAGTAAAGATGGTGCTTCTTTTAAGAGGGTGAGGTTGCCGGTCCCAAGGCCAACCTTCCCTCTTCACCGGGCTTACCACTGTAACAACAGAAGACAAGGGCCAGGCAACAGAACGTTTATTACGGAAAATCAACACATATTTATAGATTTTGATGTACATTATTGTAGGTTAATGTTAGTAGAAAATACAGTCTGTTGATTGGTTGTTTCTCACAAAAAGTTAACCTTGCATCTATCGTGGCTGTGTCAGTTCATCTATATGTTAACTGTATCCGCCTGTCCATCTTGACCTTGACCTCAATTACTGTCAACCAATTTGGCTAGCAACCATCTCTCACCACACCACCACCTGGCTAAGAGAAGTCTAGGAGTGTGTCCTTCAGCCAGGAATCGAACCCCAGACCACATGAGGTGTGGTTGGCGAGCATTCTACCGTTGAACCACTGACGGACAACAGTATTCCGTTATTAATGGTCTTTTTTAAAAAGAAATTATGCATTAGAATGTGTGAAAAGTATGCAAACTCGGTGTTTTTTTAAAAAAAAAACCCACTAATAAATTCCAAAAAAAGTTGTGAATACTTGTCAACAAGTGAATCCACTGACAGATATATGTTCCAGAATTCTAAATCCCTGATTATCAAAAACATGCCGTCAGCCATTAAAACTTTAAAAAAATCGTTGAGCCAGCTAAAAACACCCTCCAGAGAACAGGATAAATTGGAAATGTGCTATTAATTAAAGCCATATGTTCCACACAGAACCAAGGGGGAATAATAATAATAACATAACACTGACTTCAAAAAGCCTTCAACTAGGGGAGCCCTAAATCACCAAATCACAGAATCAAAGCAAACAAAGACCAATACAACTTACCTGTATTGAATTCCAGTGTAAAAGGACAATCCTCTAAGGCGATTGAATCTTGTTCTTTAAGTTCATCAAGTACATCAGTCAGCATCATCAGTGTAGACGTCGTCGCCTTCAACGATTTAGCATTTACAATACGATATATCAAACTTGCACCAATATCTATGCCTATAGCTTCAACTGATGTGACTGCTTCACCGATCGGTGCAGATTCTAGTACTGATGCAGAGTAAAGGTTGGCTGAAAACTGTGGACCATTTTCAGCAACTAAATGGATATGCACAGTAGCTGTAGACGACAAACCGCCACCATCGATAGCTGCAACAACAGCTTCAATTTGTCGACCAGTCCAATCGGAAGGAAGACTTCTCAGGAGATAGACGTCTCCAGATGTAGAATTGATCGATAGTAATGGTGGTTCAGCTCTCGGACGAATACTTGTTAGACTATAAACAACAGTCCCATTGATACCATCATCTTTATCGATAGCAGTAACCTGATAAAAGAAAATGTCACAATAAGACAGTGATATTAAGATAATTTTTTTCCCAAAATGAGATGATAGTAAGATTAACAACAGAGTGAAATATTATCACGGTGATTTTGACTGTTTTTTATGTCAACAAACTCGTTATGGGTAATATAACGACATCCTAGTATACACATATCCATGAATACATTACCCTGAGAATCTCCAAAGCTTTTCACAATGACGTCGAGTACTTCTCCTGACAAATAAAGAAAAATAATAATCATATATGTGAACTAAAGCTCACTGAATTTCCGCTTAAATGAGTACGTTAGTTTGAAAGAAAAATAACTGCTCACACACAAACACAACACTTACAGGTATTTCCCCTTCATCCCTTTGTGTTTCAAGTGGAAAATAAGACCTCAAGCTTTGAACTTTCAGTAATCATGGTGTGGGGTCGCTAACCTCACGCTCAACTCTCCACCACCACACACCCCTCCGTATTTTCCGGACATCCTGTCATCAACTAGAAAACTAGGCGAGGAGTTAGGAGCACGTTGGCAGGAAAAAAATTGAACGAAGACCTCCCACTTAGCTGGCGAGCAAACCTACGTATACCACACATATGAGTCTATTTTCTCAATTATATGAAGATTAATTAAGCGTAATTACCCGTTCAAGTAAATGATTCAAAAGGCGTCCTACGGTATGAAAACTACTACTAATACAGAATTTTATACTGGTGTTATCGATATCCTAAATGTTTACCCACTGTAATCGGTGACACTAGATCAAGGATACAAACTTGTATATGTACGCTCAGATTAACACAAATCTTCAGTCCCAGAGTGCAGCTAAGCACTCTGAAATTCATTAACATCTTGAATTCTATCAACTTTAGATAGTCATCATAAAAACATATATACTAATGATTGACTGGGATAAGTAGTAGCGTAACAGGTAACAGGAGTAAACAAGACACGAAAGCCAAGGTATATTTTCGACTGATCTAACCGTTATTTATAAATATACAGTTTTATTCTCTTTAACCAATCACTGAGTGTGTGATTTTGCTTTACATTAGACGACATGAAATAGAATTTTCAAATTTACATAGCATTCTGTTGCCAATACAGTACTGAACTGTGGGAATAGTATTCTGACTCCAGTAACAAACAGACTATTCAAGTATATATATATATATATATATATATATATATATATATTATTTTGTTACTAATGCACTATTGATCTATGGGAGTATAGGAGAATAATATTCCGTTGGGACATATTGTCTGTATCACACCACCACAACTGTACCCCCGTCAAATACTTTCGACTGAAGTTGGTCCAACCTTCTTCGTTGTAACCATTTCCGGAGCTCGCTGACGTTCACCCGCTTCTCTTTGTTTGCATTTCTGATCGTATATACGTGACCCCATCTCACGGTGACCGTATATAGTCCTTCCCACTTTGGAAGCCGTTTGCATGACCCTGGCGTGTATTCGCTGGTGTTTCCCTTCACACTGCCATATGCTCCCTTCGCCCGACCTCTCAGAAGCGTCCCAAGTAACAGTCTCTTCGCTGACGGATCTTGAAGGCCATTCAACTCCGCAACAGCCTCGAAGTCCTGCAAGAAGATCTATATGTCTCCTTCTTCAAAAACTGCAGGGCATAGGCTGTTCATTTGTCGGCAGGCAGAGACACCAAATGTAACAACAGAAGGCAAGACACGGAAGCCAAGGTATACTTACAACTCATTAAACTGCTATTTATGTATAAACGGTTTTTACTCCTAAAACAATCACTGAGCGTTTGATTTTGGTTTACTAGCTAACTAGCTAGCCAGTAAGCCAGAGATAGAAGTGATCTAAACACCACGGGAGAGCTGTTTTCCTCGTTTGGCACGTCAAGTTCCTCAGCTGTATACTCTTGGTGGAGGGAGGGAGGAGGGCGACTCAGCTTAGAGAGGCAAATCAGTTCAAACCCTTGCAAACCTGATAAATCGTTGTCAATCTAATTAATATACGCTAAATAAAAATATAAATCATCATAAATAATTTTTTCCCACTTTGGAATAAACATAACTAGAAAGTCATTACAAGAAATGAGTGGGTGACAGATTTTACGTACTGTTCCACCCCCCTCCTCCCTCTCACTGACCCATATACCTTGATAAAAGAAAAATATACTGTAGGAAGTATACACACACGGAGTAGGAAATTCTTAGAATACAAGAAACATTAGTAATGAATCATTGAATATATATAGAATGCCTGATGATTAATTGATGAAATAGAAAATGAATGATATTTATTTATACATGCCCATTGTTGGCGTCATTCACATTCAAGTGTTTATTCCATTATTCAAATAAAAAGCAACTTGATTTGTATTCACAGTGTATCATATTGACTGAGAGAAGAAGTAGAGGAAAGAGAAGCATTGAAACTGGACAAAAAGTGAAAAAATTTTAAAAAATAACATGGTTATTCTATGCAAATCTGTCTTTAACAGCTTCACAAACATGTAGGAGCTTTTCAACTTATCAAGATTCATTACAAGATTTCATCATGACATCGTTTACAGAACCGTTGGAATACCAGTGGGGAAGTACTGGACAGCTGTTTCGTGCTAGTTTGGGACCAACACTGGACAGCTGTCCGGTACTTCCCGCTAGTTTACCAAGTGTTCTCCAACTGATATCAGCTCATTTTTTTTTCCTTCACGTTCCCCAGTGGAACATAGGGCTTCAAGCTAGTGGCCTGAAGTTTCTGTAGCAGTGTTTATTTTACAGGATGGGGTTGCTAGCCCCATGCCCAACCTTTCCTCTTTACCAGCATTAATTCTGGCTTAGCGAGGTAAAGGAGTGCGTCTGTGGCCGGGGATCGAACCCCGGACCATGTGCATGGTCGGCGAGCGTCCTAACCGCTATACCACCGACGCAGCTCATGATGAAATCATGTAACCAATCATATTAAATTCCTGCAAACCAACACTCGAATTACCAAGATTCAACCGAGAATAAAACACGGATATTACAATGTTTCAGCACAAATCACAATATTTGACCGTGTAACTTCTAAAAAAGGAATTGTAAAATAACGAACAAACATACGCTTTATAATTCAACCTGGACTTTCCCGTTGATTGATTGGACTGGAATGTTCGGCCTCTGTTGACTGACATATCACCTCCTTGTGTGGATGCTTCGACGATGTGTGACGATTTAACTTGAAGTAATTTGTTGGATAGTGGCTAGCAATGGAATCCAGTTGGATGCACATTTCGTCCCACTCTGGACTCGTCATCTGGATGTATCTGCATTCCCCAATGAGTCAGTCATAGTGTTCCCCCACTGAGACCCAAATGTAGCCAGCACCTATCGTTTCAAACACCAAAGCGTTATCCACTAGACCTCGTGGGCCACGGGAGCCACCTCTAGTGCAACGGGTATCAATTTGGAAGACTATCACTCACTGGGGAATGCAAGTACACCCAGATGACAAGTCCCAAACAGGGATTCCACTGCTAGTCATCATCCATCGAACTACTTCAAACATACACTTTGATTATCAATTCTACATGATTTTTCATTTGCAAACGAAAAATTTAACCGACACACATCAAGTATGAAATTTAAGAGATTGCGGAAATCACCAAATGATGCAAGCATACTCTACAAGGCCACATAAGATAAACAGATGGGTAAAAATCGAGGAAAAGTGATTGACAGATAGATGTATGTATGTATGTGATAGTAAACCTCTTGGAACTTGTTGATAGGGTGTTTAACCAAGCCTTTAAGATTTCTTATCATTCAAATATTGCGGCCGCAAGATTACTTATGAGTATTCATCTCCATCTCACACGATCGCCTCCATGTCACCCTCGAACCAGCTCCCCACTAGAGGAACTGTGGTAAGAGATGGTTGCTAGCCAAAGTTAATAGACAGTAATTGACGTCAATGTTTATGTCTCGAATATTAGTCATGTGAAAACAAGGTCAAAGATGGACAGCAGACTTAGCGTAGGCGGATACAGTTAGCTTATAGATGATCTGACACAGCCACAAAGAGATGCAAGGTTAACTTTCTGTGAGAAACAACCAATCAAAAGACTGTATTTTCTACTAACAATAATCTACAATAATGTACATTAAAATCTATAAATATGTGTTGATTTTCCTTAATAAACGATCTGTTGCCTGACTCTTGCCTTCTGTCGTTACAGAACTGCCTTGCATGCGGTGTCATTCAACGGTCCTCTCAGAATGTTCCTATCCATCTCCATCTTTTTCTACATATTTACTGGTCGATAGGTTCTAGGTTTGTTCGTTGTCAAATTCACTTGTTGCTTACCTCCTCTGGCTGACCATGGGATCTTCAGCGTGGAGCCAGGGAAGGTAGTTGTTGATAAAAGTCTACAGTAGCCTATTAGACATGACTTTGGTTACGCATGAGCCATGTCTCTGAACCATATTGAAGAAACGACTTGACTATTCATGCGATTTTAATGATCACATTCTACAGAGTGTTTATTGAACGATAAGCAATAAAACAGCAAACAGGTGAACACACAACTACATATGGTGAAGTAAAGTTTAAACTGATTGTTAAAAGTCAAGAGTGTTACGATATACGTGAGTCCCATGTACTTCCTCTTCACGAGGTGAAAGAGAGAATTATATGGTGCTTAAAGCTAGATTGCTGGACATACATACATACAGATGTCCACCCAGGAGAGCCGGAATAACACAATTCTAAAACAACTTATGGTATACATGGGCTCCAGAATCGAAAAGGGTAGATTGTCGTATGAACCAATCTGTTCTGGTGTCACCAGAAACCATGCGAACGTTGTTCATGATGCTGTTCGACTGGCATGTGAATCAGACTGTAAGTCCGGGCTGTAACCCTGCACTCGCAGGAAATTTACGATTTTGTTTGGAGTATCTCCTGGTGTCCATAAGGTACCAAGTTTGTGTTTCAGTATTAATAGTAATAATAATAATAACAAATATGCATAATCCCTTAAACAAACGCACATATACACATGAAATATATGATAATGTAATTAGGCTGATAAAGTCGATTTACTTACTGACTTGGGGGAGGGGGGGTGAGGGTGTGGCCACTAGTTTTTTCCTCAAACTAGGAACAACAGAGACACCAACACATACAGTTACACACACACGGGAAGAAATGAACTTTCTTAAAACACTAATGTATATCACATCTTTATATATATATATATATATATATATATATATATATATTTAATATATATATAGTATAGTATAGGGGAAAAGACAGAGACAAGATACAAGTTTATCTACTTAGATCCCCAGTTTATTGTTAGTTCTCACGCTAAAAAAACTTCTGTATTTTGTAAATTCATGGGAATAGAAAAATTAAATAATATTTGAAAATAAAGATGAGGTAAAAATATTTTTTTAAAGAGTTAGTTAGTTAGTTAGTAGGGTTTTGACTTGTTCCAACTTTGGTCACAGATTGATGTCAGTTGGAAACCAGCAGGGGAGTACTGAACAGTTGTTTCGTCCTAGTTTGCGACTCTTCATAAGTTCGCACCCACCGGGATTCGGAATTAGTAGCTTAATGATCTGGGAGCTCGCCTTGTAACCAAAAGGTTCTGTGTTCGAAACCCGGTGGGTGAGTGCCACTGAGGAATTCGAGACTATGACGAAACAGTTGTCCGGTACTCCCTGATTTTTTAATGGTTCTCTAATTGACTTCATTCCGTGATCGAACGAGAAAAAAAACTATTTTAAAAAATGCATTTAAACAAATCAGTATGTAACGTAAGTGACCAACAATGGTGAGTTGAGGTGAACACAACTCAAATAATGAGAAACTTACTCTAAAACGATTAGCACTTTTACAGGTACGATTTGAGTCAGCACTTTGTTTATTCAATTGTTCATGGATATGTGAAGAAGTACTGGCAGAAGTACTAGAACTAACACAAAATGTTACATAATATGGTAATCCAATGAATTCTGGTCGATTATCATTAATATCTATAAGATGTACATGTACAGCTCCGGTACCAATACGATTTTGTGCATCACGTACAAGAATATTCAGTGTGAAGTTAGTTGTCATCTCACGGTCTAATTCAGTGGTGTTTTGTTCACCAGTGGCAAAAACACTTCCAGTCAATGGATGTACATAAATACCTGGATGAGGATTGAGTGTGATAAATCTACAAGATGAAAGAAAAAGGGAGGTGAGAGGGGGGAGAATGACTTTACGCCACTATAAAATGCAACTCAATAAACGCATAAATCTTCGATAAAGTTTATCCAATAATAATGCCAGAACAAACTGTACTAATTAAAAGAAAAACAAACATTCAAACAACACACCAACAGCTATGGGTATAGTACTCACAAAATTCTCTACCGATAGCTGATATACCTTGACGTAGCGGTAGGGAGGGGGGGTTGACAAGTTACGCAATGGCCCAACAAGCTACAATGACTGGAACTAATGCTAGAAATGTCATTTGGATGACAATGGTTAAACTAGAAAGCACTTACCGCCATATTGGTGGGGATTTGTGGGTAAATCCTTCCATGGGTAAATAGGGATCTAACAGGAGTAGGGTGTATTCCTCTCTGTTTACCATCTATGCTGCCTCTCCACTCTGGAGATGGAGGAGGGGATTAGACAAGGTTGACCCCCAAAACGGTACTTACTGACTTATCTTGCAACAGTCCGTAGCCCGAAAACCATTTCAAAAGACCGTGGGTGTGTGTGACCAGTTGTTTCCCTGGGCTTTGTGGTCACACAACACAGTAATGCTCCTTCTGTTTCATGCACCTCAAGAAGAATTCATCTTTCAACGGATGTGGACACTTGGGAATGAATAACCACCCCACCACCTCCCAACACACACACACACACACTTCTATTAGCATACTCACAAAACTAAATGAAAGTTCACTTGTATAATCAATAATAATAATAATGGCATGAGTGTTACGATATATCCAATCCAGATATCATGTCTAAAATCTTGTCTGCACACATATACACACACGCACACACACACACACCACATAAACCATTGAAAACAACCACATAACATAGAGCATAGTGACAGTACACCATTTCGAGACTTGGAGACAAAAAGCCACTGGCATTTATTTTTGGTTTGGTTTATTGTGCACGTTTTGTCCGTTTATTGACAAAATTATTAATATTAGAATTATTATTATTATTATAAATAATTCGTTTAAGCACACGCTGAAATGAAATGAAACATGACTTAACAGAACAAAAATAAACACTTATCAAGTAAATATCCAATATTCAATTGAAACAGTGTATGTATAATAATTGTCCACTGTGACATTCAGTCACATGAATCACAAGTATTAATAAGTTAAGCATGTATCCAGAATTTTTAGTCAAATAATTTTTTTCAGGCTTGATAACGAGTTGACACCAGTTAGAGAAACATTGGAAACCAGTGCACAGTTGTTTCTTCATAGTGTTTCGGCCTCTTCGGCAGCCCCCAACCACCGACAGGTTTCTAACCCAGGACCTTCCGAATAAGAAATGAGCTCGTAGACCATTCAGCCACTGAGACCCAATCCTATGGCCGGCCTATGAATTTAGTGATAGGGAGTGAAGTGATAGAACATGTTGACCACTTCACCTATTTGGGAAGTTGTATCAGCACCAACGGATTGATTGGTGACGAAATCTCAGCACGGATCCAAAAAGCGTGGGTTGCTTTCGCTAACTTATTCCATCTCTGGCGTATGCGTGACATCCGACTATCAACCAAGGGACGTGTGTACTGCTCACCAGTTCGCTCCGTCCTTCTCTATGGCTGGCTCTGAAACATGGCCAATACGAGTTGAAGACATGAAAAGGTTGACTGTTTTTCATCATAGATGTCTACGATCTCTTTCTCACGTTAGACGGTATACTAAGGTAAGTAATGTTGACGTTAGGCGTAGAGTGTTGGGCAAAGAGGGAAAATCAATCGAAGAGGCTATAAAGTTACATAGATTGAGATGGCTAGGTCACGGGCTGCGCATGCCTAACCATCGCCCCCCCCTCCCCGACGGGCATTACTAGCTGATATAGGTGCATGTTGGAAAAGAGTAGGTGGTGGCCAAACAAAAACATGGCCTCATCAATCCATGAAATCCTTGACAGTTAAACTGAGTCAGGTAGGGAGGGAGATGCAGACTTCCGGGTTGGGGCCCGGCCCTCGGGACTTTAAGAATCAATGGCTGGAGACACTAGGTGACATGGCTCAAAATCGTTGTCAATGGCTTACGCAGATGTATTCAGTCTCTTGTGTAATCTTTCATATTCCTTTCTACCATTACTCATTCTGTTTCACTATTATACTTATCAAAACTCTATTGATTCTCTTCACTCATTTTCTTGTCTACCTCTGTGTGCTATTTGGAAGGTGGCAACTCGAACTGGTGCACTTCGGTGCTAATTTCTATGTTGAATCCAGCCAGCCAGCTATGAATTCCAACTGCGAGTCAGTTTCATAGGCGAGTAACTGGCCTCTTACCTCGGGTTCGAACCCCAGGAGTGAAGTACTCTGAGGAGTCCCAAACCAGGACGAAACAACTATCCAATACTCCCTGCTGGTTTTCCAGTGGTTTTTAAACTGATATCAACTCCATGACCGAAACCAGTAACCAATTAAATCCCTGCAGGAAACTAAACACTTGGTAAGTGTAACTTTTAAACGACACATGTTGTCAAGATTATGACTGTATGTTTCAGTAGACCCCATGTGTTAGAAATGAATGGAAAAATGTCCACATAATAATGATGATGATGACAGCATAAATAATAAGGGGTAAGAGAAGAAAACCTTTGCCTACGGCAAATAACAACATATTTATTTCCCAATATTAATAATAATAAACTCTGAAGTCAGAACAACAGCATTAATCATAAAATATTAAACGAGACAGCTTCTTTAATAATGAGAAGCGATTAGGTTGCCAGGAGTAACGTATATCCTGATTGGATAAGAAAGATTATTTCTTCAAGGTAGAAGAGGGAAGAAACAAGGATTAAGAGAGAGGATTATTGTGAAAAAGAACTATTATTACTAGACATATGCGTTCACCACAAGACAACTGTAAATCAAGCAAGATTAGAAGAAAACACCAGAGTTATTCCTGTTTCACCAAACCACAGTTGGTATTTCAAAGTTTCTATACAAAGCCGGGAGAGAAAATCAATTGGTACGGCAGTAGTCACTGCGTGTGTGCGTGTGTGTGTTTGTGACAAGAATAAGTGTCTGATAGCATACTTTTTAATATAGAAAAGTTCAACGGCACCGCAACCTACTACTACTACTACTACTACTTACTGTCTGTCTCAGTACTATAGTACTGTCCTACTTCGCGCGACCATCCCTACCTACCTACCTACCTACCTACTGCTAACAACTGTCAGAGCGAAAAAATGAATGCGGCTGGAGCCGCGGTGGACATAATATAAAATACAACACCGTATATAAACGAAACTCATTTGATTACCCAGCGGTAATCATAAGTAACACATGTGTGCGTGTGTGTGTGAAGCTTCGAGGAGATCAAAGTCTCATTTAAGGTTCAGATATCCGCATGTAAAGCTGACTAACTGAATTTCAAAGTAGAATTTTGGTCGGAAATTTAGCAGTTCAAGAGTTTCCACACTCCATATAGTACATAAAGGTAGAGAAAAGAGGGAAAACAAGATATTCAAAAGAAACATAATCAGTTGAGATTTGTGGCCGAAAGAATAATGACATAGAGGGACACGAAAACTTTGAGAAATTAAAAAAGAATGGATGCATCTGCGTCACACTGAGAACAGTTTTGAATAATATCACCAAAAGCCAGTCTTTTGGTTCTTAGCTCGAAAACACGCAATTTGCAATGTACACAATTCGAGGAGGTGAGATTTCACAACAGTCTACTCTAAAAAAACGGAATTATTTAGATCATAAAATGTGGTCTACTTGATACTGTAAATGGTAATCAAGAAGGCATCTCGAGGACTGGAACCAGACAGTAAGGGCACGATTTGACCACCACCCCTAACTCTTCTACAATTTAATCCTATGTCAACTAACATTACGCAACGAGGAAGGTTGTAGCTGGCACGGCATGCGTAAAATGTGGTTCTAGCCACCATCCCTAATCACTAAATCAAACGGACTTCAACTAGAACAATCATATGAAAAGCAAAACCAATTCATATTTAATAGCATAAAACACACGGGGACCACCTAAGATTCTAATTTGGTAACCTAGATATAATTAGTGTCACTAATGCATAAAAGTGCGTTGGTGGCACAGAGGTAGAATGCTCGAGAAACATACATGTGGTTCGGGGTTCGATCCCCTGCTGACGCACCTCTTTACCTCGATAAGCCAGTAATAAGACTGGTAAAGAGGGAAGGTTGGGTATGTGGATAGTAAACACATTCCGTAAAAACTAACATCACTGCTACCGGAACTTCAAAGCTCTAGCTTGAAGCCCTATGTTCCACTGGGAACGTAAAGGAATAGAAAAAAATGCATTAAAAAACCAAATTTAACTGTTTCCTGTATAAGGAAACGACGATTAGGTAGTGGCTTTATTACATATCGCTGCGAAATTGTAGCGTCGTGGTCCATTGCTATGGTGGTTTAATTACAAGTTACATTGTCTGCATTAAAAGATTTTTTCTGGCGTACATATTATCGGTGGCATTGTATTTGCTGAACTTTTATCAGAAATGTTGCTTGAAACTGATATCTGTTTAATGTTGTAATGGAATAAAAGAGGTAGTAAGATAAAAAGTCAAACAAATATTATTGATATTCAAGTATCGGTTTGTAGGGGATTCGATTGATTGGTTACAGGACTTCATCATGAACTGGCGTCGGTTAGAGAACCATTGAAAAACTAGCTGGGAGTACTGAGCTGTTTCGTCCTAGTTTTGGACTCTTCAGTGGTACGCACCCATTACTAGGGTTCAAACCCAGAACTTTCTGGCTACAAGGCGACCTCGTAGACCATTAAGCCACTGGGACCCAATCCAATGGCCAGGCAATGAATTCCAACTTCTGCCAATTCACAAAACTAGGAGTAAACATCTGCCCAGTTAGTTTCCAAATGTTAGTTTAATCCATGTGAGCTCATAATGTAATCTTGTTACAAATATTATTGAGTTCCCATGAAATCATGCTGGTTTCTTTTGTCCCTGATAATCGCCGGAGGGATAAAGGTGGCGCCATTTCACAACACCCACAATTGAAACATTTGTGATATGATCGAAGTAGAAAACAAAAACAAAACAAAACATAACTCACCTGTAAATTGTACCAACAGGAGAATTACGAATAGACAGCTGACCAAGTTTTAGCAATTCTGAACCAGCATAATGCTCTTCAACCTCAACATGTAAACCATCCACAGGATCAAGAATAAGCGGTTTTGATTCACGCATAGAATGTACACTACGCACATAAATAGTGACATTTGAACGACTGATATGCGCAATCGGTTTATGACTATCCCAAGCTTCAATGTGTAGGAAAAAGGTTTGATCTCTTGATGGAAAAGATGTAGGTGTGTTGATAAGGATCTCTGAAAGACTCGAATTCGGTGCTACTCGTAAAAGGCCAGTATTTTCATCGAGAGTAAAGTGTTCAACACCATCACCACCGACAAGGTAATAATGAACCTTTTATGTGTTGTTGTTGTTTGTTTTTTTAAATAGAAAAAGAGAAAGAAAGAGAATGTGCATCTTCATAAAATTATCAATACATTAGGAAAAAGGATTAAAGTTTTAATCACACGGGAAAATAGAGGTGATGAATGGTAACCTACTTTTCATAAACACAGTTTGAGAATATTGAAATTAAACTTCAGACTGTTTGTCACGATTATTATTATTGTTATTATTAATATTACTATTCAACCATAAACTTCGTACATTATGGGCATCAAGAGATTATTATCATTATTGTTCCCTTGGGTTCCTAGTGGAACATAGGGCTTCAACTGCACGTCTCCACTTGCTTCTGTCTTCTGCTGTACTTTTCACCTGCATCCATGTTAGTCCATACTGTTTCACCTCCTCTTCACTCGATCTCCTCCGTGTCACCCTTGGACGTCCCACTCACCGCTTCCCTTTCGGGTTCCACTCGAGCACTGGCCTGACGCGCGATATCACCATGCGGCCTCCTCAGCGAGTGTCCAATCCATCTCCACTTTCTCCTGCATATTTGGTGGGCGATTGGTTCTTGTTTGTTTTGTTTGTTCCCATAGTTTCTTGTTGGTTCTTGTTCTTTCCGGCCATCTGATCTTCAGTATAGAACGAAGACAGTTGTTGATAAAGGTCTGCAACAGGCTGTTGGAAATATTCTTTGTGACCCGCGGCCAAGTTTCTGATCCGTATAGAAGAACTGACTGACTTGACGTTTGTATTGAAAATCCGAATTTTGTTGTTGAGTGTGGCTGAGTGATGAAGATTTCCAGATTGGTTTCAGATTGATAAATGTGTTTCTCGCCTTCTCCATTCTCGATTTAAAATCCTCGTCCGTTCTTCCTGTAGTTGAGACAATGCTCCATAGATAAGTGAATGAAGTAACCTCTTTCAAATCCCTCCCGTTGATGGTGATTATGATTATTGATTCGATGTTATTTAAACAACATTAATGTTGTTCATAACACTAATTCATTCATTCACTATTATGAATGGATATATAATTGTAGAGCCTGATGATGAAGGGGTTATCGAAAAGAGCATTCTTTGTTCAGTAACCATTCTTTTCTATGATTCACTTAAAACAAGTGAAAAAAGTGAAAAAAAAAGAAGACAATACCCATATATCTTCTTCATTAATGAACAAACGGAATACAAGTTAGGGAATTTTACATTCACGAGGAGTAAAGTGACTTATATAATAATTAATTAGTAGTTGACTTTGTTTACAGCTTCTGATATATGTAACATCTGGTGCAGAAATAATGTTTGAAAAAAAAATAATTAATTACCACAAGGCATGAGATTGCAGTTAGGGTTAGGCATAAATAAGCCAAGGAAAATCCTAAAATTGCCAAGAGGCAAACATATTTTTCTCATATTTCAAATAGTAGACATATTTGTGATGAAATGAAGCGGTTGAATTAATACCACATTTTGAGACGAGAGAGAAAAACAAACAGTCAGGTTATAGAGGTATTGTGATTTAGTGGCATACACCCGCTTTAAGCATTCGAAGACGAAAGTAAGGGAAGGAGAAATAACAACAAACATTGTGTCAGTAGTTCAATGGTAGGATACTCTCTAATCATGCTGGAGGTCCAGTATCGACTCCCGCGTTCGATGCACTCACCTAGCTGGTAGTGACTCTGAGAAAGAGGCAGGGTATGGCGTAAGGTTATCTGTCTTTGGTCATAGGTGCCTGCGCTCTATCTCCCGTGTGATGTAGAATAATAGGATAAGCAATAATGACGTTAGTCTTCCGTCGAGTGCTAGGTAAGTGGGAGGGAAAATCAATCGATGAGCTAGCGGCGGTCAAACCGAAACATGGCTTCATCAGTCAATGAAATCCACGACAGTTAGTTTAAGCCACGTAGGAAGGTGTAGAGTGCCTTCCTGGTTGGGGTCCTCGGGACAGTAAAAACCAATGGCCGGAGACAATCGGTGATATGGCTCAAAATCGTTCTCAATGACAGCGCAGATGCATTCACTCCTTCTGACTTATAATACCCTATGAAACTATATTGTTCTTCGTTATTACTATTCCTTGTCTCATGTCCTTGTCTACTCTCTCTATTTTGCATTTCTTCTACTTTCTTCTCTTGCTTTGTGTGCTACAAGGAGGGAGTGTAGCGACTTGAACTGCTGCACATCGGTGCAAAGTTCTATGTTGAAAACAGACAGACAAACAAGGCTGGCTGGCAACCCCATTAGATAGAAGGACAACACCTCCACGGCAACGGTAAAGAATAGACACCAGAGTGAAATGACCTTGAATCAACCAATCACAGCTGTAAGCATTATAAATGGTTGCTTTTCATAATCTTCGTTACAAGTTTCATCCTAACCTTAATTATACACCGACCTTAATCCTAACCCTGAATCAGGAGGAAACTTCCAACGAAGATTATGAAAAGCATTCACTTGTAACACTGAGCACTCGGATTGATTGGTTCAAGGTCATTTGAATTTGGTGTCTATTCCTTACTTCTGCCACCGTACCACTACTGGAATTTCAAAGCCTCAAAGTCCAGTGTTGAATTAGGGATGCAAAAAACTCGAAAGAGAAACAGCACTCAGGCGGATCACATTTGATTACAAGAAAATAATAAATGAAGAAACTTACCGAGTCATTCAAATCCGGATCCTCTGCTTTAATTTGTAAAACTAATTCATTTGGATAAGTTGGTAGAAGTAGTGTAGACTGTAGATAGTAGGGATCTGTAAAAATCGGTGGACTATCATTTACATCAGTAACCGCAACACTAATTCTTATCAAACGATCAGCAGTAAGCGACGGTTTACCAGAATCGCTAACTTCAATCATCAAATCATAATGCGCCTTCGCCTCCCGATCCAATGATACATGATGATCATCCGATAGACGTAGCACTCCAGTTGAATTATCAATAACAAATAATTGATGATTACTGCCCGATTGAGGTCCAACAAGTGTATAGACAAGTTTTGCATTCACGCCCACATCGAAATCGATCGCTTTCAAGGTGATTGGACCAATAGAACTTGGATCACAAGTCGTCACCAGATTATCGTCTATACAATGACCAACGACCATAGTACCAGGTGGGGAATCCTCTGAAATCCAACCGACCATACGACTAGAACCGATGATTTTCGGTGGGTTATCATTTAAGTCGAGAATTCGTACCTATGGAATAGGGGGACAACCAAACACATATATATATATAACACATAGTGGATATATATTGATGAACAAGAACATGAACATGAACAAACAGTCTACATTAATTACAAAAACAGTTGTATTACAGAACCAAAAAAATAAACGAAAAAAATGTTACAATATCAAAACAAAGGCGAAGAAGATACATGCTGTAAAACAAGTATACAATAAAATCAATATATATATTAGACAGGAAGGATCACACGAGATAACCGATCAGAAAACATTCACGATAATCAAAAGTGATACCTTTTGACAAGTAATCGTAGTAATAATAATGATGATTTACAGACGGGACACTGATAATATGTTGAAAAAAGACAGAACAGGTAAGAAGACAGCACAGTACGACAACAGTATATACTGACATCAGATTTACCAGAGGACTTAATTACCCTCTCTCTCCCAACCTGTGTTATACACACACACGCACAAACACAAATTTCAGCACACTGCCGACGGGAGAAAACAATACAAATGTAACATGGAGTAACAGTTGTCGCAGTTGTTATTGTAGTCAATCAACCAACCTAAATATATGCAAAGAATGTCTGAAGAGTTGTTGAAATTGATATTACATGAATATATTTTTCTCTCTTGGGGTTTTTCTTTTCTTTTCTCTCCAGTCTCTCCAGTTCTTCACATCTCTCTCCTCTTCTTTAGCCAAACTTTTGTGTCTACTGACCAACCGACTAACTGACTGACTGACCAGCTTAGTCATCGAAAGAAATTGATAAATAATAATAGTAATAACGAGAAATTTACCAAAAGGCAAATTAAAAAACAGAAACACGCATCGTCTTCCATTCATCGCACAGAAAAAGAGGGAAAAAAGACAAAGGAAGCATAGTAGTAGTAGTAGAGTGATAGTAGTAGAAATAATCAATGGATAAAGGTAAAATGATGAAACCCACTTCTACTATCCCACATAATGATTTACATATAACAATAAATTTAAGGGGAAATTGTAAAAAAAAATTAGTGGAAGACAAAAGTCTGAACTGTACTGAACACCTTAATATACACATATAAAATACACATTAGTGAGATTTTTGTATTCCTTTACGTTCCCAGTGGAACATGAGGGCTTCAAGCTAGAGGTTTGACGTTTCGGTAGAAGTGGTGCGAGGTAAAGGAGGGCGAGAGATTATATTATTATTATTATTGTTCCCTTGGGTTCCTAGTGGAACATAGGGCTTCAACTACACGTCTCAACTTCCTTCTGTCTTCTACTGTACTTTTCATCTGCATCCATGTTTCAACTCCTCTTCACACGATCTCCTCCATGTCACCCTCACACTGACGTCCCACTCGCCGCTTCCCTTTCGGGTTCCACTCAACGGCCTGACGTGCGATGTCACCCAACGGCCTCCTCAGCTAGCGTCCAATCCATCTCCACTTTCTCCTGCATATTTGTTGGGCGATTGGTTCTTGTTTTGTTTGTTCCCATACTTTCTTGTTGGTGATTCTTTCCGACCATCTGATCTTCAGTATAGAGCGAAGACAGTTGTTGTTGATAAAGGTCTGCAACAGGCTGTTGGAAATATTCTTTGTGACCCGCCGCCAAGTTTCTGATCCGTATAGAAGAACTGACTGACTTGACATTTGTATTGAAAATCCGAATTTTGTTGTTGATGCTGAGTTGAGTGACGAAGATTTCCAGATTGGTTTCAGGTTGATGAATATGTTTCTCGGTGAGAGATAGCTCACTCTAAATGCGCTGAACTGGAAAGAATTTTCAGTGTAGAAACTGGTACATAAAAATAATGCAGCAATTCAGGAGGCTATAGCACTTCATAGAAGCCTACGCATTAAGGTGTGGGAGACAGAGAATAACTACAACATTGAGTCTGATCACGAATTGATGTCTCTTAGAGAACCGCGATTGAAAAACCATCAGGAAGTAATGGACAACTGATTCATCCTAGTTTGGGATTCTTCAATACCAAACATTCCGCCAGGGTTCGAACCCAGGACCTTCTGGTTACAAGGTGAGTTTGTAAACCATTCAGCCACTGGGACCGGGATTCATTGACTGGCCCATGAATTCTAACTTCTATCGATTCGTGATTTTAGCGTGACCATCAGACAGTGTCAGCGGTGAGTACTTGTCGTCTTGCCCGACCTTGTGGACCTCATCGGTCACTAATTTTCACAAGAAACTGAGGCAACTCTGCATCCTGTAACCAGACACTAGCAAGCATCAGATTAATTATTCAACAGGGAATTTGTAAACTACATTAAGATTAATGAGGATTTGATGCAGCTGAAGAATCACAGTAAATGAGCCATGTCACCAACAGTCTCCAATCACCATTTTCTCTTAGAGTCTCGAAGAGCCTAGCTATAGACAGTCTACATCTTACTACTGTAGCTCAGATTAACTAACTAACAGTCAAAAGCTTCACACACCGACGGTATGTGTAAGGAAAGAACAAGGGTGCACTGATGCGCTCGATAGCCGGATATCGAGTCTATGCTAGAGACATAACATAATTTGGCAATAATTTCCTAGACAAAACGCTAAACTCTGTTTGTCGCACTCCCTATCCTTAAACTAAGACATTACTCTGATATTCTAAGACAATAAAGTCTTTTCGAAGACAAAAAAACTCTCTATACATGAATAAATTGAGACAAAAATTCGACCGGATAAACACACATAGATAAATAGACTACATACATAGTTGCATGATCAAAATAATAAAACAAATCAGTAGATTTAGATTATTCCTTTTTTTTGTTTGTTTGTTTGTTTGAAAAACAACAGATTGTCGTTACCGATGAACAATACGCACACAAACTTATGTCCACCGTTTTTCTTCTCTGCTACACACAAAATACAAAAGATGACAGACAACGGCCACAACAGCAAAGCTGAATTTATTAAGTCCTGAGCATAATATGCTAGACAATGTGGAGAAACTCATGCAAAGTGACATCTATGAGTGTTAGTCAAAGCACAAAGAATGATACACCGCTTTGTAGCTGAATTTCTAACTATAGTAAAGTGACAGTTAAATGTATGGAATAAAGTGATTAGTAAATCTACTTACTATGCTTAGATAAATCACATAGAGAAAGACTATTCTCAAGACAGAGTATAGAAATAATAATGACAACATGAATTGCTGACAGACAGATAGAAAAACTGAAGAAATAATGTAGAACTTAGCGGAGAAGTGCATTAGTTCATCTTTTGAGTTAAGTTATATAATTTTTTTACAGTCTACTTATGGACACTTCGAGTGGTTCCGTGGTAGAATGCTCACCAGTCCATGCGTCACGCAGTCTGGGTTCGATTCCCTGGCCAACTCACGCCAGGGAAGTAAGTAAGCATGGAAAAGAAGGAAGGCTGGAGGCATGAGGTTGACAACCGCATACACCCTGTAATAACAAGACAATCCCTATTGGAACTTCAAGGCTCAAAAAACTTGAAGCCTCATATTTCACTCAGAAAGCAAAGAAATGAAAGAAAAATTTATGAACACACTAAACTGTATATCCTAAAGCTGATCGCAAGAAGTTTATGTATAGATTTACATCACTTTTGATTGGACACTAGTCAGTAACTAGTGTAATTGGTGTGTTTGTGTGTTTGTTTCTAGTCCTATCTTTGGTGCAGACTGAATTCTATCAGTCAAGTTTGCAATGTCGCCATCACACATCTCTGACTCCAGTACTGGGTGACCCGGCGGTTCGAATCGCAGAAGGGACATGAGTTCCTTAGAGGCTGCAGATACGCCTTGCTGACTGACTGGTGAGTGCCAACTAGCACGAAGCCTAGGTCATGCAAGGCTTCCTGTGGCCGATTGCCTCCAACCATCTAATACCAAGAAGATTCACAATATATATTACTCTACCGTTAGCAGCTAAAACGCAAATCAAAAACAACAATGACAACAACATCAAGCACCAATCACTATCAAGGGAAGAAATTTGAAGGAACCCACCTCTTTCACTACAGAAAGAGGTACAGATAAAGATGTCAAAGCCAGCCAGGATGAGAAAGGCAAGACAAACCTTCAATAACTCTGAAATCAATCTGGAAATCGACTTATTGCGATCAGCATAATGAACAATATTTCGATTTTCAATAATTATTATTATTATTGTTCCCTTGGGTTCCTAGTGGAATATAGGGCTTCAACTGCACATCTCCACTTGATTCTGTCTTCTGCAGTACTTTTCACCTGCATCCATGTTAGTCCATTCTGTTTCAGCTCCTCTTCACACAATCTCCTCCATGTCACCCTTGGACGTCCCACTCGCCGCTTCCCTTTCGAGTTCCACTCGAGCGTTGGCCTGATGCGCGATGTCACCCAGCGAGGGCCTCCTCAGTGAGTGTCCAATCCATCTCCACTTTCTCCTGCATATTTGTTGAGCGATTGGTTCTTGTTTTGTTTGTTCCCATAGTTTCTTGTTGGTGATTCTTTCCGGCCATCTGATCTTCAGTACAGAACGAAGAGAGTTGTTGATAAAGGTCTGCAACAGGCTGTTGGAAATATTCTTTGTGACCCGCCAAGTTTCCGATCAGTATAGAAGAACTACTGACTTGACGTTTGTATTGAAAATCCGAATTTTGTTGTTGATGGTGAGTGACGAAGATTTCCAGATTGGTTTCAGGTTGATGAATGTGTTTCTCGCCTTCCCGATTCTCGATTTGACATCCTCGTCCATTACTCCTGTAGTTGAGACAATGCTCTCTAGATAAGTGAATGAAGTAACCTCTTTCAAATCCCTTCCGTTGATGGTGATTGGTGCTGGGTGTTACTGCTGTTGTCGTTGTTGTTGGTTGGTTATTTTCATAACCTCTGTCTTGTCTATGTTCACCTGGAGTCCTGTCTTTGCTGCTTCTTCAACCAGTTTGTCGGTTTTTGCCTGTAAGTCTTCGATTTTGTGTGACATCAAACATAAATCATCCGCGAAATCCAGGTCTTCACGTACAATAATGTCAAGCCAGT